CACACAGCCCCATTTGACAGGTAGCATTACCATCCTCAATTTACAGAAGCAAAAACAGCATCCTAGAGAAGATAAGTAATTATCTGATATGCATTCAAGCCAAGATTTGAACCAAGCATTCCAACATCAGATCCTGAACCCTTAGTTTTCCATTCTGCTTAGAATGAATCAGGCAGTTCCACAAAATACTGAAGTGTATTAAAAGCTACTGTAATAAAAAACAGTTTTCCTGGCATAAGAAAAGATAGTGAAAAGGGATCATTAAAACATAATCAAGATTTCATAGGGCGCCTAGGTGGCTCAGTCAGTTGAGCATCCAACTCTTGATTTCCGTTTGGGTCATGATCTCTGGGTAGTGGGAATGAGCCCTGCATCTGGCTGCCTGCTCAGCAGGGAGTCTGCTTGGGATTTTCTGTCTCCATCTCCCACTACTCCTTCCCCTGGCACTCTCTCTCTTTCTCTCAAATAAATAAATAAATGTTTAAAAAAACATAATTAAGATTTCAGACAAATCCTTGTGAGAAATTGTTACATGCTAAAGGTAGCCTTTCAGATGAGTGGAGGAAAAAAATGGGTGCTAAATAAATAATATTGGGACAATTGATTATCAATTTGGAATAAATAAAAGTAAAACAACAAAGCTAGATCTTGACCTCAACTGTTACACCAAAATAAATTCCAGAGAGGTCAAAGATTTAATGCAACAATAAAATGTTGAAAGTATTGTACAAAGACACAGGTATATTGTCATTGTTTTAAATAATCTAGTAGTGAGTAAGCTCTTTCTAAAAATAACCAAAAAAGAAAAAGGAAAAGAATGATAAATGTAACTGTGTTGAAACAAATTTTCATGCCAAAAAAAGTAATAGAAAAGAACAAAGTGGGAAAATATTTGCAACACATATAACAAAAGAACTTCCTTAATGTACAAAGGACTTTAATAAATCAATAAAAGAAAATGAAAAGGTGAGCACCACACCAGAAAACTGGACAAAGAATTTGAACACAGTTCAGCACAAATATGGAAATACATTTTAAAAAAAACCTCTTATTGTGGAGAAATTTAAACATATAGAAAAGCAGAGAGATTGGTGCATTGGACAATCCCCCCACCCTGCATCCATTCCCAGCTATAACAGTCATCAAGGCAGTAAGTCATGGCCACTCTTGTGTGTTAAACACACACACACACACACACACACACACACACTCTCTCTCTCCCAACCAACCCATCCCTACATTGCATCATTATGAAGCAAGTCATTTTATCTGTAAATGTATCAGAGAGCATATATAAGATTAGAAAATGCTGTTTTTCCTATTATAGTGCCAAAGAGCAATTATTTTTTTAAAAAGGATTTTATTTATTTGTCAGAGAGAGCACGTGTGGGCACAGCAGGGGAAACGGCAGGCAGAGGGAGAAGCGGGCTCCCCGCAGAGCAAGGAGCCAGATGCGGGGCTCCATCCCAGATGCTTAACTGACTGAGCCACCCAGGTGTCCTGAAGATCAATTAATTGAGATTAATTGAGCCAAGGGTCTTGAAAGAGGGAGAAAACTGAAAAAATGTAGCTCACGCCTGATACTCTCTGAAAGGGAAAAACGGGAGTTTTGACTGTTTTCAGCTTTCAGCCACAACCGCTTGAATACTGAATCTAGCACAAGAGCACAGGAGGTGGGGCGCCTGGGTGGCTCAGTCAGTTAAGCGTCTGCCTTCGGCTTGGGTCATGATCCCAGGGTCCTGGGACCGAGCCCCACGTCGGGTTCCCTGCTCAGTGAGGAGTCTGCTTCTCCCTCTCCCTCTGCCCCTCCACCCCGCTCATGCTCTGTCTCTCTCAAAAAAAAAAAAAAAAAAGCACAGGAGGCATTCTTGGACAAAACTGTTCAGGAGAAGACTTGGGTTGAACAGGAGTGGGGAAAGGAGTTAGAAATCAATTCTTTCTAAGGGCATTATCCATGTTCCAAGTATTCACATTCTGGGGCATGGTGGTGTTATCCTGTAAACTTCTTGAGGAAAGGCACCTCATCTTCTGCTCGAAAGCCTTACAGTGTATCTGCCCATAGGTAATCAACAACCATGAAGAGCTCCTTCGATGGACATACCCTCCCTCACGAGGCTGATGGACATTGACATCATCAGTCCAAAAACTCTGTGTGACTTCATATGAATAAAACGAATAGCAGCTATTGAGGAAGGGCTGGGTCTGCAGGGTTCCCAGGCACATGCAGAAAGGTATGCTGCCTGATATGGAGAACAGGTTTCTTGCCCAGAAACTGCCTGAGTCACTTCTTTCATGTGATCAGCACTGTTCGTGCTTTGCCTTCCTTATAATTATACTGCAGGTCAGGGAGGGAGCTGGTTACTCAACAAGCTGGGACCAGCCTTCTGGGTGGACTTGAGTGGCTGTGCAGGGCATGCTGTGAGGACTTTCAGATTAGGCATTTCCTTTAAGATGGTTTGAATGAAATGGACTTGGTCCTGAATGAGCTGGACGAGAGACTCGCTGAGCCTGAAACCACAAATGTCACTTAACAGCCAACTAAATTTCTTAATCTCCAAAACCCTTGATCATGAGCAAGGTGACTTCATTTTCTTCAACAAACCTTGGCTATTTAAGCACATACTCTGTAGGTATATGCAGGGAGTAAGGGCACAGGGGGTTACAAAAAGGAATATGGTGAAGTCTTTGTCCTTGTGATTTTACAGTCTAGAAAGGATGGACACTGTGTGAGTGAGGCTAACAATTTTTGAGTCTCTGCAGTGCTACAGGCACTGTATTAGGGACTTAACGTGCATTATGTAAGGACAATTCAAGGTCAAAAGTGCTATAAGAGTTCAGAAATGTTTTGAAGCTATCTTGAGGAACTAACATTGGAACTAGCACTTGAAGAATAGGTATGATTTCAACCAGGTTGAACTGGTGAAAGCAATTGTGGGAGCGAGGATGTATTAATCGAAGTCCAAATAGGTGCTGGGCTTCTGGAATGGGACATATGCTATCTGGCTCAGTACCCTGAGTTTTCTAAAACCTAACACTGTTGCAATAGCCTCCTACTTGATCTTCCCACCTCCTCTCTCTTCCTGGTGCATTCTACAAACAACTGTGAGATCCATTTTCATAAAACCAATATTGGATTAAATCAGGACCCTACTTAATCTACTTTCTTTTAAAAGGAAGAAAGTTAGAGAGGAGGGAGAGGAGAAGGGCATGATAAAGGGAGGGGGGAACCTTTCAATGAATACTTAATCCCCATAGAACAAAGTCCAAACTCCTTATCATCCAAAGCTTTGAGAACCTGGCAGTGCCCATCGGTGCATTTTGAGCTTCTCCTGCCACTCCTTCCCCCAGAGCTCCTCCTGCTTCCTACATTCTAGCCATCTCTCACACATGCCAGATATTTACTCTCCTGTGCCTTTATTCATGCTTTGTCTTCTGGCTGAAATGGCCTAGATTCTGTCAAAATCAGTTTAAGATTTTAAAATTTAGTTTAACAGACACTTTCCCCATGAAATTCCTAGCCACTCAATCCAAATTAAGGGGTTTCTCCTCTGTGGCCTTGTGGTGCAGTCTGCCTCAGTTCTACCATTTGTCACTGTTTATCTTCTAATATTCGATCTGGAGTCGGGTGACCTGGGATCAAACTCCAACTTTGCCACTTAAAAGCTGCATGGATTGGGGAACATCTATGTCTCTGAGGCTTAGCTTTCCTCATATGGTATACTTAAGATCGACTTCACAGAATAAGGAAATAATATATGTGAAAGTACTTTATAAATCATCACACATGTAACATTTTTAGATTTACATTTTTAAACATGTAAAAGGTAACAAGTTTCTATCCCACTAGAATGTAAGCTCCCAAAGAGCAGGATTAAAGAAAAAAAAAAAAAAAACTTTTAAAATAATAGTTACAAAAGAGTTGCAAAGATATATAGAGAATTCCCACATACTCTTTACCCGATATTCCCTGCTGTTAACATCTTATCTTGTATATTTATCAAAACTAAGACATTTGTATCAGTATAATACTATTAAAACTCAGTAGTTGACAGTACCTAGTAAGAAGGGGGCGGGACGTATGTTAATCATTTAGGAGACACCAGATGATTGGAAAGAATTAGGGACTGAGTGGGAAATAGAATGAAAGGAATGGTTAAATATCTATTTCACTTTCCTTCGGGAAGTTTTACTATGAAAGGAAGAAGAAGAAGGAGAGGATTTTGGCCGCAAACAATAGAAACGGCTGAGGAAAGGTCTTATTTTAGTTCTGCGACTAATCCCTGACACGTGATCTCACATAAAGCACTTAACCTCTCAAGTCATTAACCTTCTTTAGAAACGGTATTAAAAGATATCCGGTCTACCAGTTTCACAAGACCTGTGTTCAGGAGCCTACTTCCCCAGCAAAAACGTGAGCTCCTCGAGGGCAGCTGCTATACACACCTTTCATTAACATGCTCAGGGCCTCATAGAGCCGTGACAATCCTTCGAAAAGTGCTTGTTGAATGGAGTGTAAAGTGTTGAGTAATAAGCCCTGGAGTCTACTGAGATCTTTCTGTTCACCTAACACTGTGCTATGGCACGCCACTAGCATTATTCACCATCCTAAGGTAGGTACTATAATCACCCCCCATCTGGCACAGGAACGGGCCCAAGTCCCCAACTGATGGGTCTTGGAAATGGGATGACTTTTTTCACTCAAAAGCCATCGAGCTACAGAGCGCGCTCCGTGACGTGGAGTGAAAGGAGCCAGAGCCAGTAATTCATCTCAAGTATAAGACATTTGGAAAAAGAAGGGAACAGATCTCGACCCCAGGTGTCCTCTCTGCCCCTAGGCCAGAGCCTCAGTGCGCTTGTGCTCAGTTTGACCGCCGCCACAAAGCCAGGGGGAGCTTCAGGGATGTCGCTACAGGCCTCGCGAGATCCCGGGGCTAAGGCGAGACCGGGGTGGCTGGAGACTGGGTAGCGCGCGCGCTGATGACAAAAGCGGAAGTGCTGGGGCCAGAGGCGGGGCGAGAGCCCAGAGGGGGTTTAGGATTGCGGAAGTTTTGTGAGAAGGGTCGGGCGGCTCTCGAAGCGCCGTTTGGTTTTGGAAGTTCCAGAGAGGAAGCCGCTGCTCGGGGTCCGAGAGCCCCCAGCCTGCACACGTTTGGGGCAACACCGGGCGCGATTCGACGTCGCCGCTGTTGGCTTCCTCTGCCCTCGTTCCTCCCCAGAGAATCTCCTCGGGTCTCCGCCATGACATCCACCTCGCCCAACCTCCAGGTATCACTGTTCTCCCGCCCTCTGGAGAGCCGGAGCCTAGGGGCGGCGCGGGGTTCGGAGTGGGGGCCGAGGAGGAGGGAGGAAGCGGCCGCGCCCCTATTGCGGGGCGGAGGAGGGCGGTGCTCGTGCCCAACCTGCAGGCGGGAGGGTCGGGCTCTTTCCTCCAGCTTCCGGGGTCTCCACAGCCCACCGGCTACGTGGAAATCTTCACTTTGTTTGAGGTGGGGTTTTTTTTCCCTCTTTTGAACCGAACTGGGCATAGCTTTGAACGAGAGGCCCAGACGCTCCAATCAATGTAAGAGAAAAGAACGTAAGGTTTGCAAAGCACAGCCCTGAGCCAGTTGAAGATAAGGTGGTCTTAGTTCTCCGTCTCTCAAGCTGGTGTAGCAAAGCCCTTCTCGTTTAGCTGTCAGGTGTATAGAACTATGAGGACAGTCTTAGAATTTGAGGGATCCGTGAATTCATTGAGTTGTGCATTCATGTGCTCCCAAAATCTATTCAAAATCAGGGAGTAGTTTTAAGCTCCTCTGTGCTCCACCTTCCCACCCCTACCGCAGCGAGTACAGTGTTTTGTACATAAATCAGACTTCTAAACTTTTAGACATAATTGTTGGATCTCTATGGAATTCATTTGAGAAGAGAAATTTCTGAAATGGTGCTTCCCATCCCTAGAATGGATCTGAGGTTTCAGAGGGGTTTAGGATGTGTCTTAACCTCGAGGACTCCCAGTCCACTAGGTCAGTCTGGGGGGAAGATCGACATAAAATACCTGTGTTGAATCCTCGTCTTGGTCTTGCAGTAGTTGATGAGACATTTATTGAGTGCCTGGTGCAAGCTCAAGGATAATGGAAAACCTGCGCAAACCAGGCCAATTGATCCTGAAGAAAGACCGCTGAAAGTAGATCCATTTAAATAGAGCTCAAAAATTCACCAAGAAAAAAGAAAAAAGTTGGAGGGAGGAGCTTTCCTGGGACTTTTACCTTGAAAATGGACCCAAAAGATTATCAAAGTAAACGTTTTATATATCTTAAAACATAATTGCAACTGTGACTTAGAATCAAGAATAGGTCATATGTTGATTTTGTATCTTTTCCAACAGGCTTGCATTTAGTAAGATATAATAAAAATATAATAATCTCCACTTAACATTGTTTTTTTATTTTTATTTATTTATTTTTTTGTAGCCCTATTCAGAAAGGGTCTTTTTGGTGTTCTTGGAAAAAGTATTGTCCCTTTGAATATCAAAGGCGACTTCTTTTTAAGTGCTGTCTTCATCCTTGTTGGTCATTTAACTCGTTTTATTCCACTAACTTTTCATTTGTCAAGACCTTGCATGTAATTTGGACATGCCACAACATAATTTTCATCCATTTACTGATACCTTTTTTCTTCTGTAATAACTGCACTTTCATTCTCTACTCCGTTTGCATCATATTTGAATTGGGGCAGGTGTTCCTCAATGAATCAGTTAGAGATTAGGACACATACTAAAGGCATGTTGCTGGTGTTAAACGGGGAGAGATGTTGCGTTATAATTGTATTGTGGTTGGGTCATAGGTTCCCTTTCTCATTCAACCTTTTTAACCTTCTAACCTAGGAAATTTGGATGAAGAATATTCAAATAACAATTTTCCCACCGAACAAGGCAAGACTCCCCATAACCAGATGCTTATAATCTAATGGAGGAATGCAGATAATTAAAAATCAAAATTATAAAATAACACAGTAGTGCTATAATAGAATTAGAGGTGAGTGCGGGGGGGCAGAAAGGAAGGGCTTATCTAACTCTTCAAGGATAAATGAGAAATGTTTCACAGAGGAGATGATGTGAGCTTAGATAATGTGAAAGGTACTGACACTAATTGTCCACCTGGTATTTGGTGTGATCTTATGTAATCTTCAAAACAACTCTTCAATATTACTTCAGTTTCACAGTGTAAGAAACCAAAGTGTATTAAAGTTGTGATTTTAATTAGTATTGAAGTTAGTTTTGAATCCAGGTTTATTTGCTAGTAAGTTTGTGCTTTCTTTCACTATGAAGTTAGGCCTTTTTGGACAAGAAAGGGGGATGCATTTCAGGTAAAGACAAAGAATATATACCTCAGTCTAGAAGTGTAATAAACCTTGGAGAGGGTTGGGAGAAATTGCAAGTAATGCAGTATGCATAGAACTCAAGTTTACTCAATCCTAAATATGCCATTCATTTTGCTAAGTCTTAGGGAATCATAAAAGCAATATATCACCCTTGATTTCCCAGGGCTTGTATTCTGATGTGAGAAGACATGTAAAGTGGCTGATGGGGATACTGTGTGGAAATTTCAGGGAAGCATAGGCTAGGCCCCCTGGGGGTGTGGGGGAGGGCTTTGCAGCAGGAAGACCATGACTATGCTGATGCTTAGAGAAACTGGAGTCTGACTGGAAGATAGGTAGTATATTTCAGGTAGAGAGTGCACCGTAAACAAAGGTCTTAGGTCTGAGTTGTCTGGGTTGTCCCTAGTTTGGTACGACTGGGACTGAGTGTGTAAGGTGGGAGGACTGGCCTAGTCAGGCCATGGAGAGGTGTGTGCCACACAGATGATTGGTCCTCATCCTGCTGTAGATGGAGAATCAGAAAGAAATCTGCCCAGGTTTTTATTGTAGAAGGAAACTACCATTTGTGTGCAGGGGACAACTTGATTGGTAGCAGGCCTGGAAACAGGGAGACCAGTTGGGAAGGCAGGGTTCTGTGTGATGGGAGATGGTGAGGGCCAAAGTAGTGTAGTACCTGTTAAAGAAGAAGAGAGGATTGATCAGAGACAGATTGAAGAGGAAGAACAGTCAGGCTTGGCTCTGCATTTAGAAGGAGAGGGCAGGAGGAGTCTGGGTTTTCTCCCAGCTCCCTGAATTGAATGGGGAGGAATTGGTTCTGGGATTACAAAAAGAGGGGCATATTTGGGGGCAGGTGTTCTGGAACTTTTTTGAGCTTGAAATGCGTTGTGCGGACAACCAAGTGGAAATGTTCAATGAGTGGTTGGATACATATGTGTAGAACTAGAGAGAGGGGGCCAGGCTGGAAGCAAGGGTTTGAGAGTTAATAGCATATAGATGGTTGCAGAGGTTATGGGCATCCTGGAGAGTTCATAGAATGAGGAAAAACAAGAAACAGGTAGAAATTCTGGAATAGTGGCATTTAAGGAGAGAGAAAAGGGAGTCTGAAAAAGAATCATTAATATAATCCAGAGTAAAACCAAGAGAGAATGGTGCCATGGAGGCTAACGGAGGAGGAGGCCATGTCCAGATGTCTGTTAGGAGGATTAAATGCTGTGGAGAGAGAGTTAGGTAAGTGTGAGACCTGGTAGTCAGCAGGAAGCATTGCCATGGAGGAATCAAGGAACCGTGATGAACTTGGAGTTCTTTTTGGGATTTTGTTATGGAGGTGAAAAGATGAGTAAGGTAGTAACTAGAGAGGAACCTAGGAACTGGGGAGAGCCCGGTGTGTTTTAGTTTGTGTTTTGTATATATGAGTTTGAAGTAGGACTTTACATACATGTTTATGCTGAGGAAGGCCCCAACAAAAAAGCGGGGGAGGGGGAAGGTTAGGTTGGGGAGAGCAGGAGAGTGGCATATAATTGATAGGGTGAATGTCAGAGAAGGAAGGTGGGGATGGTCTCCAGAGCATAGGGAAAAGACATAGCATTGACAGGAAAATATCCAGTGGAGAAAAATTGTTAGAGATTATAGACGTAAAATAACCAAAAGGAAGATTTTGAGAAAGCAATTGGGGATTTTTTTCATTTGTTCAACAATTTTATTAAGTACCCAGTGTGTGCCAGGCACTGTTCCAGGCTCTGGGGATAGCACAGTGCTGCAGTTGAAGTCCCTGTGCTCATGGAGCTCACGTTTATATATAAGGAGATAGGCAATGCGTGAGTATCCACAGATAAATGTAATGATACGCACAATGATGGGATGGGGGTGAGAGGAGAACTGAAAGCAGGGACGGAGGGAGTACAGCCTCTGAAATAGATTAGGGAGGGCCTCTGTGAGGACTTGGCATTTGCTCTGTGGCTGAAAAGGAGACTGTCATGCACCTATTGGTGGGGGGGAAGAGCATTGTAGGCAGAGGGATCAACAGTGCACAGGCTGCCTGCGTGAAGGTGGACTAACGGATTTGAGATGCAACCCAGAAGGAGCCAGGGCTGGGTCACTGAAGGCCTTGTAGACCATGACCATGACCCAGCAGTGGAAATCCATCAAAGGGGCCGGCCCTTCACTGGTTGCCATAAGGACTTCAAGGTGTTGAGTGCGGAAGCAGGCTGACCGCTTAGGAGGCACGGTGGTAGTTTTGACACATGTATTAGTGGATTGAGCTAGGATAGTAGCGATGGAAGTGGTCAGGACTAAGAATAGTTGGCACTCCAGAACCATACAAGACACAGTTAATTTCATTTCAGATGAAAAATGCTAACAGAAACAAGGGTGAAGTGGGATATTCAGCAAGGGAAAAACATGCTTATTCTCAAATCGTCATGTTTGATTAAAGGTTTAGCATGCGCTGTCTAGTACAGTAGCTACAAGTAGCTATTTAAATTTGAATTTTACTCAAAATTTAAAACTCCTCAGTCACACTAGCCACAGGTGCTCAGAAGCCGATTATAGATAGTGGCTTGCGTTTTGGACAGTGCCGGATAGGGTCATGACCATCAGAGAAAGGCTGGCTTAAAGTCATTAGTACCATATTTGGCACTAGACGATTAGATACTGACTGTAAGAGTTTTCCTTTAACCATCATTATGGTGCCAAAAAGAGGACTAACTGCTAGTGAGGGGAGTGTGTAGCTGGAGAGGTGAGTGGCACAGCAATTCAAAATAATAGAAGAAAATTGTCAGCTAGAATAAGAAAGAACTTATTTCCTCTGCATGGCGTAGCCACGGAGTCTTCTGCATCCATTTTTAAATGACCAGGTGCACCAAACCACCAGTTGACCATGTGTATGAGTGCTGTGATGAATGTGCTAATGACCAAATGTGCTAAGTCTTAGGGAATCATAAAAGCAATATATCACCCTTGATTTCCCAGGGCTTGTATTCTGATATGAGAAGACATGTAAAGTGGCTGATGGGGATACTAGGTTTGGGTGAACAATATAGTGAGTTAATTTTTGTACAGAGTGGTTTAGGTCAAGATTCTCTGTCTCTGGGCACCTGAGTGGCTTAGTCAGGTGAGGGTCTGACTTTTTTTTTTTAATTAACATATAACGTATATAATGTATTACTTGTTTCAGGGGTACAGGTCTGTGATTCATCAGTCTTACACAATTCACAGCACTCACCATAGTACATACCCTCCCCAGTGTCACCCAGCCATACCATCTCTCCCACCCCCCTCCTTTCCAGCAACCCTGTTTGTTTCCCGAGATTAAGAGTCTCTTATGGTTTGTCTCCCTCTCTGGTTTCGTCTTGTTTCATTTTTCCCTCACTTCCCTTATGATCCTCTGTCTTGTTTCTCAAATTCCTCATATCATTGAGATCTTTTGATACTTGTCTTTCTCTGATTAACTTATTTCGCTTAGCATAATACCCTCTAGTTCCATCCACGTCGTGGCAAGATTTCATTTTTTTTTTTGATGGCTGCATAATACTCCATTGTATATATAGACCACATCTTCTTTATCCGTTCCTCTGTTGATGGACATCTAGGCTCTTTCCATAGTTTGGCTGTTGTGGACATTGCTGCTATAAACATTGGGGTGCACGTGCCCTTTCGGATCACTACATTTGTATCTTTGGGGTAAATACCCAGTAGTGCAATTGCTGGGTCATAGGGTAGCTCTATTTTCAACTTTTTGAGGAACCTCCATACTGTTTTCCAGAGTGGCTGCACCAGCTTGCATTCCCACCAACAGTGTAGGAGGGTTCCCCTTTCTCCGCATCCTCGCCAACATCTGTCGTTTCCTGACTTGTTAATTTTAGCCATTCTTACTGGTGTGAGGTGGTATCTCATTGAGGTTTTGATATCTATTTCCCTGATGCCGAGGATGTTGAGCACTTTTTCATGGGTCTGTTGGTCATTTGGATGTCTTCTTTGCAGAAATGTCTGTTCATGTCTTCTGCCCAGGGTTTGACTCTTGATCTCAGCTTAGGTCTTGATCTCAGGGTTGTGAGTTCAAGCCCCATGTTGGGCTCCATGCTGGGCGTGGAGCCTGCTTTAAAAAACAAACAAAAAAAAGATTCTCAGTCTCTGTCTTTGTTTTTTTTTTTCTTACAGATGTCTAATTGCTCCAGCACTGGTTCTTCCACCATTAACTTGGTTTTGCATATTTGTATGGATCTATTTCAGGAGTTTTTGTTTGTTTGGTTTTTTTTAATACTACACAAAAACCTATGTTCATTATAGGCATCTTTAAAAGATGTGGAAAAGTAGAAAAAGAAAAAGTTGAGTCTTATCAAAGACAACCTCTGTTAAATTTTCTTTTCGTCCTTTTCCTGTGGTATTTTTGTTTGTTTTTGCTCTTTCAAATAGGAATAGGATTATTTTAATGATCCTATAATAATTTATTGTGTAGCATCTTTTTGCTGCTTAAAATTCAAGTTTTCAGGTTTTATTTTGTCTTGTTTTAAAAGACCCCTCTGGTTACTATCTTTGTTCAGTTAACCTTTTAGATAATTACTGGATTAAAAGATTTGGGTATTTTCAGATTCTTGATATTTCATTGCCCCATTGCTTCTGAGGGGGTTTTATACCATTTATATTTTACTATTGTTATGTACTTTATCTATAACAGCACTGGATTTTTGAGAATTTCCCTGAATGATTTTAACATGAATTTTCATATTACTCAGTTATTCCTTACTAGCTCTAAGCTTGACATTCGTTGAATGAAAATTGTATGAAAATCTTCGTGATTGGTACTGGATAAAGTAGAAATCAGATAGCATTTACCCGTATAACAAATGTAGTTTACATTTTATAAATCATTACCATTTATAATAACATGCAGTTGAGATTTAGAGAAAACAGATCGGTTTGTTTTAAGGTTGCTTTTATTAAAAAAAAACTTTCAGTATGATCGTTTACTTCAAAGTAATGCTTATGTGATTTTGATGGTATGATTTTGCCTTCCTTCAAACAGAAAGCAATAGATCTTGCTGGCAAAGCAGCCCAGGAAGACAAAGCTGGGAACTATGAGGAAGCTCTTCAACTCTACCAACACGCTGTTCAGTATTTTCTTCATGTAGTTAAATGTAAGGTCATAGTTTGCTTTTTATTTTAAAACGTTAAAGGAAAAGATTATTCTATTTCATTTATAAAAATTGAAGTACAATGCAAGAAAATTCTAAACCATCCATTTGCAAAAAATTCCCCCTAGCTTGTTAGTAATTTTTGAGTATTCAGCAAACAAATGTGCACAGTTACCATAGTTAATTATTACTTTGTGTACCTAAGCATATTAAAATACCACAGTCAATGGAAATAGTTTTCTATTGGTAATGTACTCAGATTATGTATGAACCTCACATTTTCTAAGCATCTCTGAAAATACTCTTTTAAGTACATTAAAAAAAAAATAGGTTGGGAAACATTTTATTCATATATTTTCCAAATATGTATTGCATGTTTCCCATGTGCCAGGTATTGTTGTAGACACTAGAATACAGCAGTGAGGGGAAAATGAGTAAAAAACACTGCCTTTCTTGATCTTAAACCTAATGCTGAGCATTTGAAAACAGTGTCTTTCTTAAAGATTTTTTTTTTTTTTT